GCAAAGAAGGCATTAAGTACCTCAGCCTTTTCCTCATCCCTAGTGGCAATATTCCCCCCCCCACATCCAGCAAAGGATGGAGATCCTCCTTGGCTCTCTTTTTGTTGTTAATGTACTTGTAGAAACATTTTTTATTATCTCTTACAACAGTGGCCAGATTGAATTCTAGCTGGGCCTTTGCCTTTCTAATTTTCTCCCTGCATGACTAACAAGATCCCTGTACTCTTCCTGAGTTGCCTGCCCCTTCTTCCAAAGGTGCTAAACTCTCCTTTTTTCCCTGAGTCCCAGCAAAAGCTCCCTGTTCAGCCAGGCCGGTTGTCTTCCCCACCAGTTCATCTTACGTCACATGGGGACAGCCTGCTCCTGCACCCTTAAGACTTCCTTCTTGAAGAACACCCAGCCTTCCTGGACCCCTTTATTATTATAAGCCATCCTATGGTTATTACTTTAGGAAGCTTTCTTTTAGTCTCCTTAAACATTTAACTCTCTATTTTCTCTCATAAGAAAAATATACAAACATATTTAATATCAATTATATTATTCCAATTTCATATTATTCAATTGCTTTACTATTGTCACTGCGTGTTTCTCTACTGGCTGGTGTAACATATCAGATTACCTAGCATATTTGATGACTCAATCATGCTTGTGTCTAAGTCAGTCCAATATAGCCTTTGGTCTGCATAATCAATAGTGAGGTCATTGGCACGACCCACTTTATCCACCAAAGTGATGCTGTTTGTACCGTCCATATATGCTCGAACAATCCTAGGTTTACCTCCCCATTCAGTCCAGTACATGTATCTGCAATGAGAAGTGGAACAAAAAGAGTACATCAGCTAGGTAAGATTGTGTTTAGCTGCATGCTTTGATTTTTCTAAATTTATTTCCAGTTCCTTAAAAAAAAAAACAAAAAACCACCCATGTGGTTATGTGCAGTACTACAGTACTCTTTTTTTAGACAAAGGCAGAAAAATATGTTTGACAATTCTTAGTATTTCATTGTAACCCATAGGGTTGTGGAGCGTTTATTGTCTTTTCTAAGACCCTGAAGAAATGGAGCTATATAAACTGCCAATTAACTTGCAACATACAAGAATATGCACACAAAGCTTTGAAAGACAACACTGTCCCTTACCCTTTGGTAGGATCAAGAGCCAGAGACCTTGGGTTGTCCAAGTCCTTCCACACAAGGACCTGCCTATACTGCCCATCCAGGCGGGCTACTTCAATGCGATTGGTTCCAGTATCTGCCCAGTAGAGGTTCTTTCCCATCCAGTCTACAGCCATTCCCTCAGGATAATCTAGCCCAAACTCAATCACATGTTCAACAGAGCTCCCATTCATGAAAGCTCGGCTTATGGTCTGGAAAACAATTGTGTAAAAATATTACAGCGTTTATGAATACCCCACTGAAATAAAAAGTAATAATTATTATGAAGTTTATGTACAAAAATAAATTAGTAAAAAAAATTAGCCAATGTTACATTTTTTTAAATAGTCTTCTGTTGTCAAAAAAGATATAGCAATTCACAGGATAAAAAGACCTGAATTTTCAGAAAGCTAGTGGTTTCTGATGACCAGTCCAAGACATCTTAAAAGGATATTATTTTCAGAAAGCACTAGGTATCTGCAGATTCTTTCTTGCCCATTCTCTCTCTCTTCTATTTGCGCACAAGAAGTTGTTTTTTAAAATTACTTAATTCACTGTCTTAAGCCTCAGAAACACATCTCAATTCAGAGAAAACTGAATTAAATTGTTTCTCATGATCAGTCACCTGGAGGCAAGTTTGCTGATCCCATCTACATTTCAGTTATGCACACTCAAGAAAACAAGTCATAGGGCAAGGACTATAAACAAGCCACTCCTAACAAGGAGCACTGAAACAACCCCCAGGTAAATCATTGGTAACTTCCAGGACCAATGTACAATTACCCACCCTTATTATCAACACTAAGCAATCATTCTACATGCCTGCTAACATTTCAGATATTAATTTATTAATAAATTGATAAATGAATGTATCAGGGTAAGAGAAATTTTATATTTTTAAAGGTAAATGTCAAAACCAGAAATCATGTAGTATATTTTTACAGGTATAACCCACATCTCAGAAAAAGTATAATCCCTTTTTGAAAACAAGTCCTCATATACCCAGAGGCAGAAGGAGATCAGAGAAGTGGTGGTCACCAAAGAAAAGGGAGATGACTATGGGCTCTGAAGTTACACTACCTGCTGCTAAGCTGCAGGAGGTGGGGGGACAGGGGGAGTGAAAACCCAGACATGCTGAGACTTACACTCATATGTATATGAAAATACACTGCTGGATAATTCAGGAGGCCACAAACAAGTAAAATGTTTTCCAGTTCTGCATTCAGTAAGACTGGGATCTATGCACTGACGCAGTTGAAGTAATGAAGTAGTTTTCCACTACAAATGGTTAAGACGACCATAGCTCCATCTCTCCATGTGCTTGCATGAGACTTATTTACTAACTGTGTCTGCAGTATGCTAATTTATTACATTGGCACTATTCCTGAAGGAGAGGTATCCATACCACAAGCAGCACTGTTAATGCCGAAGCACAACCCAACCCTCATTAGTTTTCACAGAGAGGCTATGGAAACTGCATGTGCCCTGCAGTCACTAAAAGTGAGCTTTTCCCTATTACGGCTTAGGGATATGGGCAAGGAAACTTCTGATTGCTCTTGGAAAATCTATTAAGAGGCTAAACAGAAGAATTCAGTTCCAGTGAAGTGAATCTGTCATTTTCTACCATTACTTAATTCACTTCAAAAAGCAAAGTAACACTGATGAAGAGCACAATACTCACTTTAGCATGCAGCTGGATGTGAACCAAACATGTCACAAGAAATGTCAAACTCCTGGGGAAGGCACTGAGATAGAACTGGGGGCAGGTGGGGGCTTAACACAGTCTGGAGGTGACTGGACAAGTTCCCTGGCCTCTTCCGTGCCAAGCTGGAGCCACAGACTAACAGCAATGAATCCCACGTTCACATGCCAAATGTTAATATTGAGTAAGATTGCCTTCCAAGTCAAAACTGGAAGAGGACAGAAAGCTCGGAGGGTTGCCAAGCTCAATGTTTAAATTACTCTGCTACGTGACATGAAACCAGCTTTTCTGCAATAGATACGTATATGGATGCAACACGTGCAGCATCCAAGACTGAGGCATTTGGTAAGACCAGACACCACTTTGGATTTTTATTTGAAGCAGGAAGATGTCTGCAACCTAACTGTGCATTCAACAATGCAACTGTCTTGATCTCCAAGAGACTCCTTGGATGCAATTCAATGACAACATCAGCAACTGTAGGACAGGTCATGTAACAGAGACCTTTGTTAGATCAAAGTAATTGCTCTGTGGCTTGTGTTCAGGGAATTCAGTCATACCTTCAAACTAACATCAGTCCAATAGATTCTGTTATCAGAGACATCAAAATCCAGAGCAGATGCTTCCTTGACTCCAGTAAGAGGAATAGCAACATCATTATTATTGGTTTCAAGGGAAATCCTATGAATTGCTGCTCTGCTTGTGAAAACTAAGAAGGCTTCAGGAATGATGCAAGTCTTCATGTCACTCAACAGTTCAAGGCCAATGGGACAGGCACACCTGGTCTCCTGGGGTGTAAAGAAACACAGATGGCTGCAGCCTCCGTTGTTCTCTGCACATGAATTAGTTCCTTAAAAACCAAAACAAAACAAAACAGATATCGGTGCACTGTGGAGGTAGGGGGGGAAAGGGGAGCGGAAATGCAGTGTAATTATAATTTTTCCAAATGAGTTAACACTATGGGTTGTCAACAGGGAATTAAAAAAAAAAAACCAAAAACATTCAAAACTGTTTCTTTCCTTCTACCCAAGGATTAGGAAGCTGGTTCTATCCCTCCTATAGACAATTAACAGCTACAAACATATCCTTCTAGTTTTCCCAAAGATTAAATTCCTTCACTGAAGGCAGGTAATTACATCCCTGTTCAGATTGGTTAATTTTGGCCAAGTGCCTCATCTTTGTACCTCTTTGAAACCACCAGTTTTACAAATGTACAATGACACAAAATGGTAAGAAAAGAGCTGGATAACTGCAGTTCTTTCCCAGTGGTTTAATTTAAAGCTGAGAAGATTCACTGGCAGAAGCAATTCCAAGAAGATCACCACAATCTCAGTTATTTTTTTGTCTGAACAGCCATGACCAGATGGGGAGGGAATGCGGAGGGGAAAGTAAGGACCGAAAGATAAATGACTGCATTTCTCCATCTGCTGGAACTGAGGATTTAGGTATTTAAAGACTCTTATCACAAAAAAATCTCCAAGGTCAGTCTCCACCAAGTTTCTTTTAATTTTCCCTTTTTAGGGATACGTATTTCAGACTGATGCTGCAACTTGCAGCTTGAGGACTTCGTTATCCTTTAAGTAAAGCTTCCTGAAAGGCTAGAAATCCATGTACTGGCAGGGTGTAATTTGACAACCTACTTTACATGATTCTGTTGCAACTATTCTCAGTAATTTTAACAGCTGACCAACAAATCCGTCTACTGCTATGCCCAGACTCCAATGTTGCAGGTGGTAAACAGATCTGTGGTGAACATGCACCTCTCATGAGTTACTACTGAAGCCAGGAGGTCCTATGAATGCCAGCAGAGGACCTAAAACACTGGCTGCACCTTTCAGCAGATGCAGTGGAAGAACACAGAGCACTACAGCTGCTGATCCCATGCTAAGGGCAAGATTTAATTGTTAAGATTTAAGTACAATTTAGGTGTTAAAGTTAATATTTAAGTGCCACGTGCTTTTAGGCAATGTTACAAGCCACTAACTCTGCCTATACCACCCAACAGTAAAAAGCATTCTGCTAACTGAACATCACTGGGATTTTGTACTGGAAGAAAAGAGCAACAGAAAATGGAGCAATTCTGTGAGCACCAGAAGTAATGATTCTATAGATTGGAGGCAGGAATAAAATTCTCCTCACAAAAATTAAGAGTATAGTGGAAGCTGTGGAAAGCTTATGTCAAATGTCACTAAAAACTAGAAGCCCATACTTCTTTTGCAGTGCTGTATTTTCCCAACTTTACAAACATTAGCTGCAGTTTTCCTTTAAAATGATTCAAACACATGAGACCACAGTTATTCATTACAAGCAATCAACAGTTGCTTAATGAAAGCAAGCCCATCTAGAAACTAGTATAGATCCATCTTATGATTGTCCATGCTTACCAAACACTTTGGTAACACTTGTTGCTTTAAGGCCCATTAAATCTGGCAGCTGATCAATAATGATGTCTCTGCTAGCCTTTATCTTGTGAACTCTTTCAATGCTTCGTCTCTGCCAGTCAGTCCAGTAGATGTAATCTCCCAGCAGTGTGAACCCAAATATATGTGGAAGCTTATCTTCTAGGAGGGTTTTCCTCATTGTTCCATCAACATTTATGACCTGTGGGACGCATGAGAAAAAAGGAAAAAATAATCTTCTCTAATGCGGGTACAATTAAAATGGCAATATCGATCATATTTTGACAACTCCTCTATTTTTACACTAGAACTTCCTGAAATTCACAGCACACTTCTATCAAAAGAACATACATCTAGGTTTGTTGAAAGAGAAATATATTGGAATGACAAGATTGGAAGTGGCTTATCTCACTCCTTCTCCATTGAAAAACCTAAGCAACATGAATTTAACTTGCATCAGTTCAAACCTGCAAAGACCACTGCAAAGGGAGCGTTTTTTTTGGATGGGAGTGAGGTTCAGGAGATTTTTAACCTCTATTCATGTCTTAGTCTCACTACTGAACTCTCTGCTCAGAAACAAGGAATTGCTGGAGTGACCATCAGCACTCAATCAGGGGGAACAGAGGCCATCAGAATTCTTTAAGGGTGCAACAAAGCCATGTAGAATCTGCACTTTCTGAAATTTCAGGGGTTTTTATCATGGAAGAATGAAGTTTTTCTTACTCTTGTGATAAGCAAGATCTTTAAGATGTGGAATAAGTATTGACTTATATAAATTTGTATTCCTAAAACTGCAGAGAAAGCAAAATAGTATTGGAGATGGGATAAGCCCCACAGATATATGTATGCTATTGGTTAGTTATTTCATAACGAATTACTACAGTGATCTCGTGCTGCCCCACTTTGCTTGGCATAAGGAAAGAGATGTGTACAGTCTGACCCTGATCAATCATCACTGGGCAAGACAGGAAATGAAAGTGTCCGCATACAATTCTCCATGTCACATGCCTAAAGTCACCTCCATCTACTACACAAACTGCAATAATCTTTTCAATCACCCAGACATCTCTTACCCATGGCAAAGAGTGTGTGTTTGTAAGACCCAGGCAAAATATTTATCTGACAAATCCCCAGATTCTTCACCATCCTACTTCTTGCAATTGGAAGCTGCAATGTAACTACAGTATTTTTAAGGTGCTGCTTGAAAATTTATACTGTGAGCAGCATCAAGTTCAGTATCATATTAAAACCAAAAGAAAAGATCACAACTAAAGACAATTTATTTTCCAACGTGATTCAGTCAACTCTTCATTTGTTGTTAGAAATGCTTCACACGTGGACAACTGCTGTGCTTTAATTTAGGCTACTATGGCTTCTGATTGAGGTTTTAAATAGTCTCCTCTTTACAATTATTTGGAAATTATTTGTTTATTCAGACTCAAAATACTAAACCTGTACTTTGTAGGGATTAAGTTGCCTTCATCATGCAACACTTCTATTTTCTTGTGATTTATAGACAGTTATGGTAATTTCAACACTGTATTCCCCTGACTTTTAAATTGCTAAGTGTTTAAGCAATATTTATTTCTTTTTAAAAAATGTCTGTAACTTAAATGCAATGTAATATCAAACCATTAAATGCCTAAAAATATTGTGGGCAGTCAAAATCAACCATCAGTTTTATCACAATTTAATACAGGTATTATAAAACAGTAAGTTATAAGGCTCTGTCCAGACATGGTAAGCAGCAGAAGCACCTACAATTTCTTTTTTTAACATGACCAATGACAATCACCACATCTTACTAAATTAGCATGTGAATTTCAGGATGTTCAAGCACACTCATGGTAGATAAAAAATGGTATCTCCACTTTGAAACCTTATAATGCTTTACAAATTTGTGAAAGCAACATGCATTTCTTCTGTGACACAGTTAATTTGGGCACAACATTTCCCCTTTAGAGAAACACAAATAAGATGTGGTCACCAATTTTACTATATGAATTTTATCTGAAAAAAACTGTTAAATGCTAGCACACTGTATTGTTTGTTTGGCAAGGTTTTGGTAGTGGTGGGGGGGTCTGAGCCAATCAGCCAGTGGTAGCGCCTCTGCAATAATGTATTTAAGACGGCGGAATAAAACCCCTGCTGAGCAGCAGCAGCTGGAGAGAGGAGTGAGAATATGTGAGAGAAACAACTCTGCAGACACCAAGGTCAGTGAAGAAGGAGGGGAAGGAGGTGCTCCAGGCACCAGAGCAGAGATTCCCCTGAAGCCCGTGGTGAAGACCATGGTGAGGCAGGCTGTGCCCCTCTAGTCTATGGAGGTTAACGGTGAAGCAGATATCCACCTGCAGCCCATGGAAGGACCCCACACTGGAGCAGGTGGATGTGCCCAAAGGAGGCTATGACCCCATGGGAAGCCCACGCTGGAGCAGGCTCCTGGCAGGACCTGTGACCCCATGGAGAGAGGGGGAACTATTGATGAAGTAGCAGGGACTGAAGATTAATATTTTATTTTGTTAAGCTAAATAGAGTACATTAAAAAAAAAAGGCCGTATCTGTGGTTAAAAGCTAAATGGTTCTGCAATTATCTTATTACATCATGTCCAGGCAAACCCCAAATGCTCACTTCTTTAAAACAGTATCAAACCCACAGGCAATACTGCAGGTTCAAAAGTTCATCACGCATACTCAGGTGCTGGAGCCAAACTGGTGCCACACTAAGTAAACAAGACACCACTTCTTTTACAACAATGCATCAGCAGGATGACGATCAAACTACCACATTTCCAACTACTTTTACAGATATGGACAGTAAAAGTATAGTTCGAATACTAGAGCTGCTGACTAAAATATACCAGATGAAGATTGGATCCAAGAATGCAGAAACACACATTATTTAAATCCATGCGCATCTACAGACCTTACAGATGACACCAAGCTGTTGAACTTCATGAAGCTCATGGAGTTCAACAAGGCCAAGTGCAAGGTCCTGCACCTGGTTCAGGGCAATCCCCAGTATCAATACAGACTGGGGGATAAATGGATTAAGCAGCCCTGCAGAGAAGGACTTGGCAATACTGGTGGATGAAAAATTGGACATGAGCTGGCAATGTATGTTTGCAGCCCAGAAAGCCAATCATGTCCTGAGCTGCATAAGAAGCCAGCAGTCAAGGAAGCAATTCTCCCCCTCTATGCTGCTTTCATGAGACCCCACCTGGAGTACTACATCCAGCTCTGGAGTCCTCAGTACAAGACAGACATGGACCTGCTAGAGCGGGTCCAGAGACGGGCCACAAAAATGACCAGGGTACTGGAAGACTTCTGCTATGAAGAAAGGCTGAGAGTTGGGGTTGTTCAGCCTGGAGAAGAGAAGGCTCTGGGGAGACCTTATTACAGCATTTCTACATTATATTGTTGTTCAAGCATGGAGGGAATGGAGATCCAAAATATGGAATCAGACAGCAATAAAATGCTTAATGGCTTACATTTTGGCTAAGAAGGTGATGGAATAAGTGTTTGGTCTCTCTCTCCCAAACATCCCTCCCCGCAATCCTGTGGGCAGAACACCTATGAATCCAAGCAGGCTTCCCTTGGATGCAGAAGGGCAGCTCTGACTTGGAGAATTTTTCTGTGCCATGGGCAGTCGAGCCCTCTTAGTGGTAGATAATTCATGGCAACAGGCAAGAAACACTAACTGTTAGACTCTTTTCTAGTAGGAGCCAGGGCAAAGCTTGAACAGTGAGCTGTTGCATGCGGTTCAATATAGGTACATATACATAGTCTTTACTTCAAATTTTGCTGTCATCCATCTTCCCAGGGATTCAGCTCTACTCTAGCATATTAACTGAAACCATGAGGATGCAAAATAAAAATCTACAAGCAGGCCTCACAATATGGCCAAAAGCAAAACTTCTTTCACTAAAATGGCACAGCTAATAAAATACCATCAACACTAAATACTTGTAATTTTTATCACTAAAGACTCATAATTCTTACCACTAAATACTCATCATTTAATATCTGAAATGGTGTGTAGCCTGCCAACTGCAGCCAAAGGGAAGCTGTTAAGGTGCATTCCTTATCATTTAGCACAAAGATATTAGAACAGCCTTTTTTCTACTCAGGGCTTTTGTCCTCTTTCCATAACTGATAAATGGATCTTGACTTGGGTCCAAGGATAAATGCAACACTAAATATGCTGTGCTTTCCATATGAAACACTGAAAGCCCCCCTTGAAGAGAGGCACATACTAAAACCCCCTGATTAGTCTTAAGACTTCCAATGACATATCTCCTAATGAGGCATCACTAAGCTCAGCTAAAATCTGTTGTAGGCAAAATGAAATCAACATGAAATACCTTGATGAACTGAATTACACAAAAAACACAGTAAGGCAATAAAGTGTGATTTTTTTTTTTACATGCTGCTGCAGTATACACAAAATGATTTAACAAATATTTCCAAATATAACACTCAAAAGCGCTTAGCTCTTTGAAGAAGATTAAAGTAAAACAATGCAATTAAATTCTACACATCAGCATGACTCATGTAGTCAAGTTACATTTCAGGTGCATCTGTGATAAAAAAAACTATTCAGCACACATATAGGATGTCTTTTGACAGAACAACAAAGGGAACTCAGATACCTTGCTCCCATATATATAATTCACTAAGATAAAACAAAATTTATTCAATTGCTACAGACAAAGCTGGAAACCAATTCTTGGGCTGAGCTAAATCACTATGTGAGCAGTAAGCAGATGTAGCAGGTTGGCAAGGGTAAAATGTCATGGCTGCTATACTATTAGGAGACCCATGTGGTGGGCTTGTGGGTCTATGACTTTTCTTTTGTGCATCTATTCCTCTTCCCCTGTGGAAAAGGAGAGCGACACTTTATTATGCTGTGAGGGTGACTGAGAACTAGAACAGGCTGCCCAGAGAGGTTGTGGAGTCTCCATCCCTGGAGATATTCAAAAGTCATTTGGTCACGGTCCTGGGCAACTGTCTCTAGGTGGCGCTGCTTGAGCAGGGGGGTTGGACCAGACGACCTCCAGAAGTCCCTTCCAACCTCAACCATTCTGTGATTCTGGGAATGGCTTCTAACGATTTTCACCAGAAGACTCTTAAAAGGTATCTCAAGTGAACAATGCTCAGTCTTCCTTGGCTAGAGAAAGAACT